GATATTAAATGAAAACAATTAAATGCTTCAACATCAACATTATTAATTTTTTTTCTCTATAAATCTTGATTATTCTATCAAAAAAAATTATTATCGGTAGATTAGGTAAAATCTGCCCTAATTATATGCAATTTTGCTTACAATTATTATACTTTCTGATTTTTTAAGAATCTACCAACTAAAATTTCTATAACTATTTTTATTCGTACTTGGTTTTAACAATAATACAGAATTAAACGAAGTTTTTCAGAGATTTTATAGAAAATAACTAATTCAATCATACAATATAAGCTTAAACTGTAAAAAAGATTGAGTTCAATCTGTCAAAGCCAATAAGAAATAACATGTTCTCAACAAAGCATACAATCCTATGAAAAATTTGAAGAAATAGCATAAGATATAAGCAGTATGGCATTTTTAGAAGAATATTAAAACGATTTGATAATAGAGTTTACAAATTCGAATGAAACATATGGGCAACTAGCATAAGAAATTGAATTAGTATTCACAAGTAGTCTAAAATAGCTACAAATCATTTTTACTACAAATAAAACAAAAAGTTTTAATTAAAAAATGAATGAGGTTATACAAAAATTGAAACAAAAGATAAATGAATCTTATCTGAATCCATTTAGATTTGATCTCGTGTAATAATCCTCACAAGTTTCTTAAAGTGAATCGTGTTATGCAATAGCTATTAATAAATGTTGTTCAACAATGGTGGCTGGATGTGACTCCAAAATTAAAGTATTTGAATTTAAAGAAGAAATGCTGAAACAAATTTAAATTTTAGATGAACATAAGGACTATGTAACTACCTTGAACTTCATGAAAAACTAGAATTAGTTTCTATCAGGAAGTTATGATAGTTCTGTAATTATATGGTAAAATGAATAAAATAATTAATGGATCTCCTAATAGAAATTAAATGGAATGACTATTTGTATTAATTGTTTGATAGTAAATAATAATGAAGATTTGATTGTATTAGGTTGTTATGATAGAACTATTTAATTTTGGATGAAGGAGAATTAATGGTTGTGTTAATAAGCAATAACAGATCATTCAAGTTCTGTATATGGGTTAAGTTTAAATTAATAATAAAATAGAATTATATCTTGTGGTTATGATAATTAAATATTAATAATAGAACAATCACAATAGAATAAATAATGGATTGTAATATAAAAGATTAAAGTTGAATAATATGGATATCGAATATGTTTTACTGATTATAATATGTTCACATTCTAACCTTTTGATAAAGAATAGATGTCTATTTTTGAGATGAGTACTATCGATAAATAGTAAATCGAAATTTAACATATTTCTGTAAAAGGTATATCAGATTATAATTGTTTCTTTCCTTAATAATATATAAAATCAAAATGTATCCTAGTGAATAAGAACGGCGAATACGCCAATTTAATAAGGAAGAAATAAAATGGAGAGTTTCTTACTCAATAATCTATCCATTTTGGAACTTCTAATTTATTTGGAGTAATGAGTGAGGATGGAGTGTATTTAATTACATGGGATGACAAATCAAAGTAGATTTAAATTAGAAAATATAATGAAGAAGAATGAATTATTAAAAATATAAAGAATTTTTTTTGTTGAATATTAATTTATTGACAATTTTCTGTAAAATTAACGAACAAAAAGAAAAACAGTCTAATTCAAATATATTGATTTTTCAAATAATAAAGAGAGAGTAAAAAAATAATATTTAGGAAAAAAGAAAATTGAATTCAAAACTACAAATTTTGTCAAACCTTAACAATGAAACTTTTTAAAACTGATTCAGAAAAATTCATTGATTGAACTTGAAAAAGGTTGAAGACTCAAAAATGAAGGTCTAGTACATTATAATAACTAAAGAAACAGATTTGGTTACTAATTAATTTGTTTATTACGGTGAAATACAGAAATATTGAAACTTAATTCAACTTAATTTATATTTAAAGCC